AGGGCAGACAATTGGGCGTCTCCGGGGCGCTCATTTAGGGGAGCCAGCTGAACCCCGCTCATTTGCCCTCAAAGAGCAACGAGCGTGCCTTTGCAGGACACGCCGCCTTCATCTGCCCCATCAATCCGATGCCCGCCCAAGTCGCACCGCAAGCCCACCTGCAACGCATGCTTTATCGCCCGCGAACAAGGCGCTCCAGCCCTCACTGTCTGCACCAACGCACCGTCCTGCAGCCAGACAGGCAACTCCGATGGCCCACCCAACATTGCACGCGCAGCTGAGGAGCGCGCACTGCCCCACATCAAAGGAGGATTCATTTCGCAGGAGTCCATGCGCCCATTTCAGCATGCCGACAAGCAAGGCCTCTCGCGTTTCGAGGCTGACCTAGAGGCCAATTCAGAGCACGACATACTCGACGATGCATGCTTTGAACTGCTTATGCGCATCTCTTGGTCAGGCATCGTCAGCCTGATTACACTAGCTCCGCCGTGCAAGGAGTACAGTAGACTGAAAGTCCGCCCCGGAGGACCGAAGGCCTTACGCACTCCAACCTGCATGCGCGGCGTGCCTGGCTTGTCTCCCGAAGAAGCATCGCGCGTTGCACAAAGCACCAACAGACTCAAAATCTGTGATGGAGCCGGCGTGCATTCCACCGCAGACCATTCAGTACCCCAGCCCAGTCACCTGCTGGGAACGGTAGCGCACGGCCTCCGTTGGGCAACAACACAAAATTCCCAAAATTCTCGCCCACGTCAGCTCGGACACACCTGAGCCACCCTTGTCGGCCCAGGAGTCCGAAGAGGCAGCGCTGATTGCTTTCGCGGCAGTAAACCTGCCCGCCCCAACCTCCCGACAACGGCCAGCCGCACCGGCTGTCACTGCTGCATGCGCTGGCCTCCGCATCGGATAACCCGGACATCAAACTCCTTGCATTGCTCTCCGAAGGTGTGCCCGCAGGAGCCCTATCCGAATTGCCGCGTAGCATGCAATCGCCGCTCAAAGAGCACGCCGACCTGCCTCACGAGCTCACAGAATGCATGGGCAACTGGAAAGCCGCCGAAGCAGAGCCCAACACAGTGTCTGCCCTTTTGGATAAAGAAATCTCCAACGGGTGGGTCGTCTGCGCAGAGACGTCCATAGAACAGGCGGCGCTGGAATAAAGGAATTGCAGTGGGCAAACTCAATGTGGTGCGTGCAGAAGGGAAGGAACCACGCCTGGTCCTGGACAGCACAGTGTGCGGGGTGAACCCCAAGTGCAACATCCCAGAACGCGTCAGCCTGCCAATGGCATCCGACGTGCGCCTCGCTTTCATGCCAGAAGACACGCATGCTTCTTTCATAGGCGCAAGTTTTGACTTTAAAGCCGCACGCAAGCAAATTCAGGTACATCCTAGCGAACATGGCTTGCTCCTGTTTCGCTTCGCAGACACTTTGTACCATTACCGGGTGTGCCACTTCGGAGCACGGTTCTCCGCATACTGGTGGCAACGCACAGGAGCTTTCTTGCTGAGGCTGCTGCACGGCATCCTGTCAGCACACCCGCATAGAGCTTGGTTGTAACTGGCGCTAGTTGTCATATTCTTTGCAGCAATTAGTGCGCCCATTTCTTGGAAAAGGTGCAATTCCAAAACTGCCTGACTTGGTGCGGATGGTCAATCAACTTCAGCCTGGAAACGATTGAACTCACTCCACTCAAAACCCTGAAGCTGAAAGAGCAGCTGTTCGCACTGCTCCGCTCCAAAAGAATCAAAAGAAAGCTTTTGGAACAAGTCCTCGGGCTGCTCATCTGGGCCACCAGCCTAAGCCTGGAATTGAGGTCTTGGCTTGCGGCGTTATATGCAGATCTGCACTTGCCACCAGGATGCATGATATCCGTGCACGCACGCCTGTGGCCTGCGTTTCGTTCGGCACTAAACGCCAAGGCTGTACCAGCTTGGCCCGTGCACGGCATTTTTATGCCGCTTGGCTCCAGGGGCTTAGAGTATCAGCAAACCTCAATACGCAGCTCCTCCAACTTGCCGCGCATCGTGCCCAGCCATAAGCCAGCGTGGGTGCGCATAGCCGACCCAGCTGCCGAGCACACGCGCTTGTCCGCGGCAAGCAAAGCTAACATTGAGTGGCTCCTTCAATGTTTTCAGGCCGATTTGGCATGCCCGCTGCGCAGCAAGCCAATCTTGGCATGCAAGGCAGCCGCAGATGCTTGTGCCGAGGGCACCGCAGTCGGCATAGGTGGCTGGTTTATCTCCAGCCGCTCCGTCTCCTGGTTTGCAGAAACGTGGGACTTCCAAGAAGTCCAGCAGCAGTGGCCGTGCCTCACAAAGGAGGCTCAGCGGTACATAGCGTGCTTCGAAACCCTGGCCCAACTGGCGCTAATGCGCATCGCTTGGACAGCCGAGGGACAAGCAGCGCGCGGCTTATGCATGCCTTCTGGCACGGATAATATCGCATGAGAAGCCGGGGTGACCAAACTGTTCACCGCAGCATGGCCCTTGCAGATCTTTGTGCAATTAGTCGCCGCATGGGCCTACAAGCACAAATGGTCAGTGCTAGCCTCGCATATCCCAGGCGAGCGCAACGTGTGGGCCGATCAGCTCAGCCGCGGCAACACATCCGCATTCGACAGCAAGCCGCAAGCTCGCTTTCGTTTTCGCCCGCATGATTTCTGGCCCCACCAATGCAGGCTATCACTGCATCCGCCCGACGCCCCGTGGCGGCCGGAGCATAAGAGTGCTTCGCAAACGCTCTGAAGAGGGGGTGATAGATTAGGCCGTTTGCTTGGAACCCTGAAGTGGGGGCATATGAGGAGGCTCCGCAGAGGGGTGCAGATACGGGGAAAGGACACGCGATGTCTTTCCCCCTGCACCTCTGAGCCTCAACTTCCAAGCAACGCCTTATAAAGAAAAAGAGCGTGCGCACATGTTTGTCGGTCGCCCCCTGTTATCTTGGACTGCATGTTCCCTTTCGGATTGAAGCAGTGATCAAGATTCTAACCTGCTGTTCTGTTTAATCTTTGTTCGCTTTTTCCACTATTCTATTATTCAATTCTCTGTTTCCTCTGTTCCCGTTGTTCTGTGCAATCATTTGTTTTCGCTGTTGGCGTTTCCGCTTTCCCGCTGTTCTCGCAAAGCGCAATTGGACCAAACACCAAGCACAAAACGATCCCACCAAAAATTGCAGCCACAACCCAAAACAAGCAGCCCGTGCAATGTTTTGGGACACGCCCATTTCGTTTCAGCATCAACTTTTAGACTACCCTGTCTCCCTGCTTGTCATGGCAGCTTAGTTTTTTGAAGAAGAGGGTTGTGGGATCACTCGGGGTTTAGCCCCACTATGATTCTGTGATACAAGCCCTTTTTGTTGTGTCACAGAAGTGGATTCCATTTCCCACAGCCCTGTTCGAGAGGAAATTATTCTTCCAGGTACCTTGCAGGTGCCTTCTGTTGGTGGAATGGAGGGTAACCGTGGTTGGAGTTGGAGTTGAACTGGTTCTTGATGGGAATGGGAAACCATCACGGAACAGCACCAAGTTGCACCAGCGTCACCCACAACACGATTGTGCAGCGCGATTGCGACACGCCGCAACGACAACCATTCCAGGCGTGTGTGGGTCCTTTTGGACGCAAAGGACGGCTTTCCCTTTGGAACCATGTCTCAGTTGGATGCTGAGGCCAGTGCGCCTTGAGGACATTTTCCCCTTCTTGCGCAACCTCAAGAACTTGGACAGCTGAGAAGCGAGCCAGGAAGCGGAACAAGAAATGGGACAAGTGTTTTTGGAGGCTCCGTTCCAACTTTTACAGGGACGTTTGTTTCTCAAGTTCATGGTTGGTTTTCTTTTGGCTTTCAAATACAGCAAAAGGCTTAAAGCAAAAAGACGGACAGCTTCATGTGGGTGTCTCTTTTTAAGGCAACCTTGTTTTGTTTGTGGCGTTAAAGGAAAACCACAATTAACACCACAGAAAATTGTGCGTCCCCTACAATCAGGCAACCCTCAATTCATGGTTGTTGTTGGGAAACATTTAGTGGTTTAGTGGTTGAAATCCCTAATTGACTGCCAAAAAAGAATTTTTGCTCCCCTTCCAACGTCAACCAAGAATTGGTGGTTTTGGTGGTTTGGATTTGGATTTGAACCCCAGTTCCCAAGTCAAACAGGGGCCCGCACGGTCCACACGAGGCTCAAAACCAACTGGCGAGGGCGGAGGGCCCCGGATGGGTCTGGACGGGTTTCCTCCCGTGGGTTCTGTGTTTGTTCAGTTCCCCTTTTTGATTTCTTACTTTTTTGGGGTACTAGTTTTGGGGGTGCACATGTGTTCGGAACTTTATCAACACGGACGCTTTGGAGCATCAATATCACCCTGAGTGTGTTTCACACCTTAGATGCCCTAGTTACCACCTGGTTGAAACGTTTGCAAAAGAGGGATTGAGCTCTTTCAGGTGCCCTTTTCATGTGGCCTTTTAAGTTTTTTTTTTTTTTTTTTTTTTTTTTTTTTTTTTTTTTTTTTTTTTTTTTTTTTTTTTTTTTTTTTTTTTTTTTTTTTTTTTTCTGGCGGAAGGAGAGCAAGTTGCCCTGTAGGACCTGCAAGCGAAGCTGGACATGTGTGCAGAGTACTGGCAGAGGCGCCTTCTGTGCAACGAGCATGTGGTGTGGGACATGCCTGAAGGGTCCATGACCATCCCCGCTAACCAAGTAAGCAGGTCTTTTCACCATTCATGTGGAAGTGTAGTCTAATTGAACGTGTGTAGGCCTATGTGGCTATATGTTGTTTCACATACAAAGCAGATATCTCTTCTTGCAGATACTGCACACGCTCGACGCCCTCTCTTGCTGAATGAAGGGCTTTGGACTTGCCTTGGGCCATTAATTTTGCTACGTTCCCGGATGTCACTTCCCTTGAGGCTCGGTGCCCTTTTTGGCTTTCTCAGGAACCGTCTCCCATCACTTTCAAGGAAACACATCTAGTTCTTTTTCCTCAAGAGCCCCTCCCCACAAAGCCTTTCCGGTCAGCCGCATTTGACTCTGGCTCACAGCTCAGCTAGTTGGCCGATCTCGGCCGCGATAAGTCGTTGTTTGCGAAATTCCGATTTCAACTCGCCATGTCTTGGCTTCGAGTGCTGCTTCCTTTGGCGGCAGCCATCCGTAGGGAAGTGAATGAACGAGTGGACAACGTGGACGCTGCGTTCGCACAGCTCGAGCAGGAGCCGTTGCGGTTTCTCCACACTGGCCCGTCTGACCCCGCCATGTTTCACCTTTTGGCGTCCAAGACACACCATGACACAACCATACGTGTCCTTTTTAGGTTAGTCTGGCAAAAATGGATGGCCCTGGTTTAGATGGTTTGACCAAAAGCCCACCTGTGGACACACCAGGCTGAGGCTCAAACAATCTCTGGGTGTGTGTGTGTGTTTTCTTTTTTAAAGGGGGCCCCGAACAATTGCGTCAGCTAACAAAAAGCAAGAAAGAACACACAGGGTACCCTCAAAGAAGACAGACCCAGAGGAGATATAAGATTGTTGATCTTGTGAGAGAGGTGGCCACTCTGGGGACCCAGCATATTATTGGCAGTCGTATTGGTGTACTGGTCGTCACCAGCTATTCATCAAGGATAACTCCATTTGACGCTGAGATTCGCATAAACCCAAAGATAACACTCAGGACGCGTAAACATGTACTTGATTACGGGGCCTCAGACAACTCGGGAGCACTTCCACCCGTTTTTATTTCGGTGTTTTGGAGGGAAACAAGTAAACTCACGAAAAATGGGACATGCAATTTGCATATTTGGGCGTGTCTTTCTTTGAGGGTACACGTTTTTGGTTGTTGGCATTCTGGGTCCAAATCCCAAAAGCACGACACCCATTTGACATGGACCCCTAAGGGGGGCTAGGGGGGCTATCCCTGGAACAGCCTAGGGTAAGCCTAAGCCAAGGATAAGCCCTTGCGGGGTGGCCTTCTGCTTCGCCTTCCTTCGGGGTCCAACTTCCATTTGAAGGATGTATTTTTACTTTCCCGTTTGGGAATCGATTTCACTCTTGGATGTGTGTTATTTTATATATTGTTTTCCGGGGGCGAAAAAGCAAACGGAAGCTGGTAGAACACCCCAAGGGCTAGGTCATCATGAAGGGAAAGGATGGCTTCATTCTAAAACGTCTGTTTTGTCCTTTTTTGCTCTGAGGGTAGGCGTTTTTGGGGTGATTTTTTGAACATACTCGATGTCGACATCTGACTCGGCAGGAGCTGCAGGTTCAGGCGCAGCTGCAGGCGGGCCACGTGCTGCGGGACCGCTTTGTGCTGGAGGAGCGCCTTGGCTGCCACCGAGACGACGGAGCTGCGGGTCTCTGGGGGATTTGGGATTTGCTGAAATGGATTTGTTTCTTCCTTGGTTTTAAAGGGAATCTATCACCGGAAATGTGCGTTTCAGAAGGTTTATGTATTTCCCTTTGTTGGTTTTGATCGATTTCATGACTGTACATAGTTGCACTTGTTTTCCAGGGAGCGAAGAAGCAAATGGAAGGTGTGCTTGTTTGGGTTTGTTTGGGTGGGGGTCTTTAAGGGGGAGGGAGGTGTAGGGAGAGGGGGCTTAGTTTTGTTCAAGTTTCTAGACCTTGATCTTGGCAACGGGGTGTCTTGTTGGGCGTGTCTCTCTCTCTCTCTCTTTTTGTTTGTCGGTACAGGTGCTAGGCGGGCGTCCTTGCTGGGAGTTTGTACCCTTGGATTGGGTTAGAAAGCGGAAGTCCATTTTGTTGGGGTGTTGGCGGGTCCCATTTCAGGGCAAGTTCTGCAGCTTTGGGGAAAACACCCGCTTTCAATCCAGTTTCGTGGCCTATGGTTGCTTGAGTTGGCACAAGGGAAACCACAAGGAAGCCACACATGTTGGGGTCTCACATTTGCTAAGATTCCTCTTAGAATTTCCCGCATGGATGTCCTAAACTAGAGACGGCCTCGCATTGGTAGGTCTTATGGTTGCAGCACTGTTAGCCAATTGGTTGCACCCCATGTCCCTTTCAACTCTTTGGGTTACCCGATCGTTGTCTTAGCCTTTGAACACTGATATAAAAACTCCACGCTTTGACTCAAAGGGGGACGTGTTCCTGTTCCGCTAGAAAAGGGTCAGAAACGGATGAGCCACCCATACCGTCAAACCGCCTCATTTGCGTCCCAGGTATATGGGCTCCACCCCGGGCTATGAGCCAGCCAGAGACCGAGACGGTGAAGGTTTAGCCGATATGCCTCCACCACCTTCGGGCTATACCCCCCCCGGAGCCCGGGCGCACACCCCAGGCCGGAGCTCGAGAGCTCGAGCTTGAGCCGGGCGAATCCGTGCGAAGACTGGCCGAGCCATCAAAACCGCAAGGCTTTGGGATTGTCAGAAACATGTGTGGGATATCCGCGCTTGCAATTCTTTACATGGCTCTGCGCAGACCATTTTAGTAATATTCCGAATCTGACTGATTTGATCATATGTTCGGGTACGCTGGTCGTGTCCCAAAAAGACGGCAAGGTGTAATCTTGGGCTGGAGAGAATCTCCACCAGATCCCATTTGGGATCCACCGGGCCAAATCTTTTGGTGAGCAAAAGTCGAGGCTTACTTTAACCCTGGATATGGGAGAATGAAGGCACTCCAAACATGCCTTCACTTTGAGTGGCTCAATTTTTGGGGTTGGTTTCCCCAAAAGGCGGGGGTTGGATAGTTCGAGGGGTTCTCAAAAGTGTTTTGTCTCCCTTTGAGTCAGAGCAATTTGGGGATGTCTTTCTATGGACGCCTTGACACTTTTGGATCTGGCAGGCCCTGGCATACCGGCAGAGCAGTTCCCAGACTCCGGAAAGCTGCACAGCTACTCACATGCGGGACTCTGGCAGCTGGCAGGTTTTCTATTCGGTTGCCCCCAGATGGGGTCCGTTTCCAAGCAAAGCTGTTTGCTCAGTCGGGCCCCGAAAAATCCTCGAAATGACATCCCAGCCAAACAAGAAAAGAAAGAAAGAGCAACCACCTGTGTTTGTTTCGTGCCCCTAGAAACGGAATCCGCGTTTGGGAACTCAAAAGTCACCCCTTTGGGTCGACGTCCTTTCCACCTCAAGAGAGCTGGAGGTGTCCCACCTGGGCAAGGGCTCCTTCGGCGACACCTGGAAGGCCTACGACCGGCACCTGAGGAAATACGTCGCGATAAAGATTTTCTACATGAGGCCGAATCGATTCGGCAAACGGCTCGCGGTTTTCAAAAAGCCGTCCGGGTTGTGTGTGTGTGTGGCCAGGTCGGATTGAGGAAATTGCCATCTTGATCGATGAAGTTCTTTACTACACGTTGCCCTGCATTGCGACCCTAGTTTTTCCTGAACCAGACAAGTGGAAGAAATCCTGGGAGACGTCTACAGGAGCCTCATGCCGCACCGTCGCAGCATTATTGAAGATGAGCAGCGAGTGTGAAGTCTGTCTCTGAACTGCCACCTTCTCCACCGCCCCACGGCAACCCAGGCCCCTGGACCGCGCAGGTAATCAAGGAGATATCCGGTGAGTTCAAGATCTCCCCGGACTCGCTACCTGCGCAGCTCATTGTTCAGCTCGGCGTTTGCGAAGAGTGTTGGCCGTACATCCTGAAGACCAGACGGACCTACCACCGGTTTCAACCAGCCAAGAAGGACACCAGGAAGAAGTACTTCGGGATCATCTTCTCCTTCGAGCCACGCCGCCTGCTACCTGACAAGCATCGTACTCAGTCGATCTCACCGTTGAGTGCGCCCAGCAAAACGGTGAGATCGACTGAGTACGATGCTTGTCAGGTAGCAGGCGGCGTGGCTCGAAGGAGAAGATGATCCCGAAGTACTTCTTCCTGGTGTCCTTCTTGGCTGGTTGAAACCGGTGGTAGGTCCGTCTGGTCTTCAGGATGTACGGCCAACACTCTTCGCAAACGCCGAGCTGAACAATGAGCTGCGCAGGTGGCGAGTCCGGGGAGATCTTGAACTCACGGGATATCTCCTTGATTACCTGAGCGGTCCAGGGGCCTGGGTTGCCGTGGGGCGGTGGAGAAGGTGGCAGTTCAGAGACAGACTTCACACTCGCTGCTCATCTTCAATATTGCTGCGACGGTGCGGCATGAGGCTCCTGAGCCGTCCTGTCTTCTGGCGGCACACGTCTTGCTCATCTTGGAGATCTTTCGTCCCCGTCTTGTGAGCGGCCTCGTGCGGAGCGTGCAGTTTCGCGCTCTCCCCGACGCAGTGGATATTTTGGTAGACGTTAGAATTGATGAGCCAATTGCGTGATCTTCCGGCTGGAACAAAAGATTTTCGCCCCTCACTGAGGGGCGTGTGTGTGCGGAGTGGCAGAAAACCCTGCCACCATAGAACAACTTTTTCCCACTGCAGGGGGTGGCAGCAGGGCCGCGAGTCTGCCACCAATGAAGACACTCTCGTGACCCTGGTGAAGCAGTTGGAGACGTCCAGCTGTGTACCTGCAATGGTTGTGCAAAGTCTTTTTGGCCCGTTGTTTCTCTCGCTGCATGTTGAACCTTGTAACGTTTTCGACACTAGAGGGAAACCGAGTGCATTGCGAGCCGAAACTTATTCATGCAGAACCTTGTACACGAAAGATTAGAACCCTCCATCTGGAGTCTAAGTGTGTGTGTGTGTGTGTGCGGAGTGGCAGAAAACCCTGCCACCATACAATAACTGTTTCCCACTGCAGGGGGTGGCAGCAGGGCCGAGAGTCTGCCACCAACGAAGACACTCTCGTGACCCTGCTGAAGCAGTTGGAGACGTCCAGCTGTGTACCTGCAATGGTTGTGCAAAGTCTTTTTGGCCCCGTTGTTTCTCTCGCTGTGTGTGCTTCATGTTGAACCTTGTAACGTTTTCGACACTAGAGGGAAACCGAGTGCATTGCGAGCCGAAACTTATTCATGCAGAACCTTATCCAAGCCGAGACTTACCAGTTGTACTCGAAAGATTAGAACCCTCCATCTGGAGTCTAAGTGTGAACACCCCATTCGTGGGGGACCCTCGGGTGTACCCATCGTGTGACCCCGGGCCGGTACGCCGGAAAATTTGACCTCAACGTGCTTATCATAGAACAGCGGAATTTCACGTTTAAGCAGGAACGAGGTTTCACCAAAGGGAAAACAGCCACCTCTTCATAGTTAAGTTTCACAATCCTGGATGTCGCTGCTGGCAGATTCCTTTGCGCCTTGCGTTGTGATGCCGTTTCCTTTCGCAAGGAGCATGTCGGCCGACTCACATGCTTGAATTATCCGAGTTGTGTGCTGCACTTGACGTACTGCACAGTGGTCGAGCCTTGATTCATGAATATGCATGTACATGGTCTTGAGTTGTCGTTGATTGTGGTTTGTCGTTTGTATCCTTCCTCAAGGACGAGCTTTACCATTTCCGGACATGTTGCTGTTTCGTCATGTCACGCCGGGATGATCGTGACAGACCAGAACTCGGCGCAGACGGGATCGGAGTCCCTCCTCCCAGCCTTTGCAAAGCACGCAGACGTGAACACCATGACAACCTGGTCTCGGATGGCACGGATTGGAACAACTTGGTCTCCTGGCAACACAATTCGGGCTACAACACTTCCAGTGCTTTTCCGGTGCCGCCAGGCAACTATCAATCGATCCCCTCCTCTACGCAGCCATTTCATCATTCTCCGGTCAACTACATGATGCCGTTTCCTCCGGAGCCCACACCAGCTAAGTTCGTGACGCCCGTGATGCCACCACCGGTCACTTCTTCCCAAGCTACACCATCGCCTGGATACCCAGCTGCGCTGCCAGTTCGACCTCAAAAAGCGTGGCTTACTCCACCGGATGATGGAAACCTGGTGATGGCATGTTCGACACCAACCAGCTCTACTCCTTTAGCCTGCCCATGACGGTTGCCAACACCCCGCACTGGCATGGACATCCGGGATGTTCGACTGGTTCAGGTCATACACGGGGGCATTACCAACTGGCTACTGCGACCATTTGCTCACGGGAGATTCGTGACGTGGGAAGGATTTCGTACCCGCGCCGAGGCCCTGCTTTGGAGCACCTGTTCAAAACTACTGCGACGATCACAGCCGCTCAACCTGCTTACTTTGGAAAAGGACCTTGCCAATTCGCTGGGGCTCAACCTTGACAACTTCAATCAGCGCATCAAGGTTCACGACCACTTGGCCAATCTGGTGCTTCAGTTTCTTCACCAACATCACGCGACTCTTACGCCCTCTACCCAAGCAGAAGACATGCTCAAGAAGTTCAATGATCTACATCGAGCTCATGAGTTGCTCCAGGCTCAATATTCGGCATCACAACGAGCTTCGTCTTCCCCTACGTTACCATCTCAGAAAGATGATGCAGAGTTGGTTACACCACCTCCGGCCAACCACTCACAATCTTCGACGCCGACCAGCTCCCTGCCCACGGCCAGCGCGGCGGCCCTCGATGGCAAGTCGTTTGATGGTTCGGTTCAACAACAACCTCGGATCATCCAGTCTCTTCACGGACTTTCTTCCCCGCCTTCCAAGCCGGCGGCGTCACAGCTGCTCACCATGCACAGCACGCTAGAAGACATCATCAAGCACTACGCATGGACCAGTGATCAACCACGCTTGTATCTCAATCAATCACCCACTACCACTACAGTGGCGTCATTAATTAAGTGGGCCAATCACCCATCCCGTCTCAACGGCAACAAGTCCTTGGAATCTATGTCGACCCAACTCTTTCAGGCGCGTCAACGCATGCCAAAAGGAGATGCACCTACGTTTGCGGCTATGGCCGCTCTGTGGGGGCTTGAACCTGGCTACATCACCGGGTGTCACCTCAGCGTGACTGCCCGCTTACTCACCGGGTGAACAGTTTCCATTGCTTGCATATTAGCCCGGAGTGGCAGTTGCGTCATAGATGACGAACGGTTCAAAACTTGTCCGTCCTCTTCTTGCACATTGATTGTTGGGTGAGGTGCTTGTCTCTACTTGCCTTGTGAGTTGCTTGGTGCTCATTGTCTCTTGAATGCATGTCGCCGCCACCTTGTAGCTTTCCTTGGTTGCATATCCATCATGTGGACTGAACTTCGCGACAGTGGAATCTTTGACGACGTTGCACAATGGCATTCCTTGGCTACTTGTCTGAACTCGCTGACGGTGTTCTCTACGTGCTGGCAGTACTGCTTTCCTAGACTTCCACCGCCGTCGATTCCAATGGATGAGTATGAGTCGACCTCATCCTTGAAGTGCTCACCGTGGTTCGGATTGCACTTCAGATTCCGATACATTCCATGTTGCGTTCCTCTCATACTGTGGCCAACAGGTATGAGCTTCACAGATGTCGGAACACTGCCTATCTGTTGATCTGTTTTTTGCAGCGTCTCATTTCTCAAAACCATGGGTACATTCCGCCGTTCTTCGGGGTTCTTCATTTTTACAAGACGTCACTGCTGTGTGAAGTCATACACTCCACTTTTGCGGATATGAGACACCTTCGATCACTGCGGACACGCTTCCCGGACCTCTTTGACTTCATTCAGGATCCAGGTCACCATCAGCAACCATGCGTCTACCTCAGACTCTGACCATGGCATAGTCCCTACTACGTTGGAGCAACAGATCAGGATGTTCTTCGCCGAGAACATTCACGCAGCCGCAAATTTCTAGAACTACTACGGGGACATCATGCCTTCTTTGAGCCTGCGCTTCACTACTGGAAGCGATCCAACACCTACTGGCTTTTCTGTGCCATTCCGGTTGAGATTAAACTTCCACTTTCCTCGGTTTGGGTTCAGGAAAGCAAGTGGCAATACATGCTACGTCCACATCTAAACGCTCCCTGGGTGCACAGGCTTCTTCGGAAAATTGGTTTCCGTGAACGTCATTCGTTGTCATCGCCTACCTCACTCTCGCTACACAAGCGCTTTCGGCGACGACTACATCCTGATCTCCATCGGCAATTACGACCCGAGATGTTGGATGACATTCAAGCACACTACTCCACTCTTTATCAACTGGGACCCAACACAGGTGCGTCGTTTCAAGCTATGCGCGATCTGTTATCGGCGGCTTTTCCACCCACCCAGCTCTACTACTTCCTGCGACTCTCCGTCTTCGTCAACGAGCTTTTCGTTCCAAGGCGCAGAAACTCCTCGCCCAGGTTATGCGCAAACGACAACTTCAGTTACCGAGCACCATGACACAACTGCTTCTCCCACCTCTA